TTGGCCACTGGGTTTCTCAGCAGAGGGCATTACCGCGACTGCCATGGTTTCTTTTTCGATTACGTTGCCGGAAAGGGGCGTCAGTCATTACTAAAAATCGACAGCTAGAGAAGAAAAAAACTGTCTTTTGGCTCACCCGTACCTTCAGTCACACAAACTGTCGTGGGTAAAGGGAGAGTTGAAAATGGCGACGGTTGACCTAATTGGGTGCTTTTTGATTGCGAACCACCGAATTCCAGTTGTGAAAATTCTATTTTCAGTGTCTGCGCTCAACCATCATCCTATGACTAGATGTGATTATGGTGGTGACGTTGTTGAGGCGTCAATGAGATGGGAAAGGCGATAATTCGGATGTGAGCTTCCTTATTGCGAGGTGTTGTGCGTTCTCTCTCCCTCTCTTTCTCTCCTTGGTGCTGTCGAGCGCCATCGGCGAGAAAGTCCAGACAAGTGGACAGTAAGTCATGACGAAGGGGGCAAGATTGCTTGGACAAGAGCTTTATTAGCCTGACGTTTCGGATTCCTGCTCGAATCCATCATCAGAGACAACAGCAGATACGGGTGATTCACGCACAAGGGGCTGCAGTATTTATAGGATGCAATCGCCATGCTACCGCATACCTATGAATATTCACAGCTTCCCCAACCCCTTCATCAGGGATCGTTGCACTTGGTGTGATGGCTGTTTAATGGCCGACATTCGCGTCACTAATTGCTGCAATTTCATCACGTGCGTTGGATGTTGGCTAATAAAGCCCTTGCCCCAGCGATCGTGTCTCATTCTTCAAGACTACTTCCTGGAACTGGTCTCTTCGCTTCTATAGACAGTAAGTTAACCCAGCAGCACTGCCATTGGCACTTGTGGATTGCTCCACTGGACGCATCATGGCAGTGTGTGTTACAGATTCGCATCGCCTGCTCCCCCCCCCCCGCTTCCCAATGACCGATGCTATAGTTGTTGTTTTAGCCAAAAACCACATTTTCAGATAGGCGTACACACAGCAGCATCGAGACCCACCGTCAGGCCTCGCCAGGCAGCCAGTAAAGCAGTTGACACTGACGTAAGTCACTTCCCGTGCATTTGGCGGACCTGTTACTCACACACACACACACGCGGCAGGCAACGCCTCACACAGTGTCTCCCCGCCCGTTGGAGTGGAATGACTCACCCAGGCGCCAGGGTTGGATGACCCCGAGACCGATGAATCAGCCCGCGCGTGTGTCCTGGCGGACCTCCACGCGCCAATGGCGTGATAATCAGCCCTGCCGGCGCTCAAGCCTCAATTCGGGCCGACCAACGATCGTCGTCCGGGGGGTCCAGCTGACTAATGATGATATGCAAATCCGTTCTCCCACCCATAATATCAGCCCATTTGTCTTATGCCGCCCCGACAGAGTGTTAGACCGGCTAACGCCCTGCGCGTTTGGTGTGAATGCTTGCTCCCATTTTGCGTGTCCATGGGCGGGTCCCTTGTCTACACCCAATCCTCACGCCAGGCGGTGTATTTGGCCGTCCTTTAAGCTAAACTTCCGCCACTGTGCTGGTTAACTGATGGTGCCAAACACCATGGAGGAGCAGAAGAGTCCGATAACCCGAGGAGGGAGTCTCCGCAGAAAAAAAAACGCGGTTATCGGTCAGCCCTCCCTAGTGGGCTTTAAAGTGCACTCGGTTGTAAGATTATAACCTCGTCAGTTCTGCACCATACAAATCTGCTGGTTTCCCGTTGAAAGTAGGAGGGCTGTCCATCTCAGCCAGTCACTGTGCCCAATGTCAGCATCAGGTGACTGACCGGCTCGGACAGTTGGCTGATGCTAGGAAGAGGGAAGAGGGGATGAGTTCGACTCGGTGGACATGGCTAGGAAGACTGCTAGCTGACGAGATAACACGGTCCTCCTCTCAGGACGGAGAATCTGGCTTCAATGGCTCCGGTTAGATGTGGTTATGTAGCCGCACCTGAGGTAAACAAACCCCAGCCGCCTGTAATATGCGAGACCGGTGGTAATGGGAGTTTTTACAGGTGGGGCTGGGGAACGCACTGGCGAAGTGGTCAAGTAATTGTATGCAGAAGAAAGGCGGCTAGATCGCAGTTGGTAGCCAGGACTGGGGAAGCGTACGTCAACCTTAACCCTAACCTTAACCTTAAACGTTAACCTTAACGGCAACCTTAACCTTAACCCTAAACGAAATCTCAAAAGTTACCGTAGCCCTTAGACATAGACCTAACTATAAAACCTAACCGTAATACTGAAACCTAGTCGTAAACTCAAACCGTAACCCGAAAACCTAAGCCTAAAGTGCATAACCCAAACCCGAAAATCGGACACAATTAACTGGTACCCTATTCCTAACCCCAAACGTAAAACGGAAGCCAAAGGATCAGATGTGATTATGTTGCCCCACAAAAAAGCCTCAGTAAACAACCCCCAGCCACCTGTAATATGGGGCTTGGCTATCAACTGCGATCTAGCCAGAAAAGCTATTGGGAGGGGGCGGTTATACTTTGCGTGGTTGAGAAATAGTTGCCCTAACCCCTACTCCCTAGTCCTAACCCCTAACAGGTGCGGCTACATAACCACATCTTACCGCCCCTTCCTAGTGTGGCGCTTATAGCACCTCAATCGGTTGAGGTCGGAGACGCCCCTTCGTTGCTTTGGTTAAGCTCTGGTGCTCAGGTCGCGTGTGGAGAGCGTAGATGGACCGTCTAACCTCGTCAGTCACTGCGTTCGAGCCCGTGTCCCGTTGTCTTTCCAGACGCATCGCCATCGGGACCATTCACGCACAAATCATCCGTGCTGTGTCCACTCCATGAGGCATACGGCGAACATCGTCGCTTGCGACGGTGTTCGTCGGGAAATTAACGAGACCCATCATGTGACTGTCTTTATGACAGTTCTACCGGCGTTGCCTACGATGTCCACCGTGTGCTCCACAGCAAGATGAGAGCAGGCAGGATGACTTGTGCGTGAATTAGTTTGTAATGAGAGTAGACTTGCGCAGCATTTACCACACTCTCCCACCCGGGTCCGGTGTCAAGTCAACAAGACCGGAGGCGGGAGGGGGCGCATGTGACTGACACGGGGAAACTGGCACCCAGGAGTACCACTAGACCCCCTAATCCACAAAAAACACTTGACCAGCGTCTTAACTACCAGCAGGAATGAGTTAAACAGAGGATGACACAAGTCACTGGGTCACCATGAACACGGCCTGTATACCCGACGGGAGCGCAAGCGCATCCACCGGTAGAGAATGAAGTACCAAAGAACTGCCAGCGGACACCAGGCTGTGAGGGCCAGGGTTTGTTGAAACATGGCATAGCACATGCACTCGGTTAATAGAACTGAAGAGGCGCATACGGTCCTTATAGCCGACTACCTTCATAATAAGGTTACCGCAGTATCTATCTTGCAGGCTCTTTTTAAGGCAGCCTCCTAGCTGTTTTATTTTTTTTTTTAACTTGTCAAGTACTGGGAGGCACATTCTGTGGCCTTCGCCGTTTTGGTAAACAATGCAGCATGGTGTCTTATTTGCACGATATATCATACCTAACGGCATAAGTACTAGCTAAAAGTCCAGACTCGTGTTTCGCCGATATTATCCAGCTGCATAACACAGCTGAGAGGGGTTCAGTACAGCTATGTGTTTCCCAGCGTTCCCCGTGCTCTTTATGGTGGGTACTCCAGTTCTGAAATTCGAACCTTTTAATTTCCCCCCTTTTCCCAGTTTCTTTATATCACTCGAAAGTTGTGCTTCGCATCTGTTACCTTGCTTAGGGATCCAAGCACGAGAAGGAGGTCATGAGTAGATTCCAGGGTTGCCGTTTTCCTCCTTCGGGATTTTCCCAAGGTGCCTCACATACTCCACTTTCTGTTGTACGCAACGGATTTTCCACACTTTTACTACTAGTAACTTGCACTTGCACTGCATTCGGCGCAAACCGGAATGTTGACACTCAACCACAGGAGTGTGGTGGTTGGGGTTAGGGTTAGAGGGAGGGGGTTAGGACAACTATTTCTCAACCACTCAAAGTACAACGGCGCATTCCCAATGGCTTTTCCTTTGTATACAATTACCTGACCTCGTCGCCTGTGCGATCCCCCACTCACCTGTAAAAATCCATATTAATACCGGCCGCCTATTACAGGTGGCTGGGGTTTGTTTGCCTCAGGTGCGGCAACATAACCATATCTGACCGTCAAATCAGTGTGCGCACATTTCTGGCACCTTTCTTTGCTTTTTTCTCTCTCTTCACTAGGACCACTCAGTCCATTTCGCGAAATCCGTCTGTTCCCGCAGTTATGTCCCATACTTTAACAACAACCTGTACGCCTACTCCGTCGCACACGCTGAGCGGTCCTGTTCATCTCGTGGCTGATCAAGTTTCTTCATATGCAATCATGCTAACAGCAGCTCTACCGTCCATAATGCACAAAAAACTACAGTGGGCGTGACAGAACACGACAGGCATGCCCCCTCCTCCCCTCCCCCATTGGGCAACATCCGCCAACCCGTTGCTCTTCAGTCGACCAGGCCTACGGCCAAACTGAGCTCTGCCCCCTCCGCGGGCGTTCGCATGAAGGCGAGGCGACCGATTGCGGGGGCCACACAAACCCAGGATAGAGGACGCTTACACGAGTCACCATCGAGAGCACGTGTGAACTATTCACCCTCCCCGCGATCCCACGATTCCTTTCGCGATCACAACATCCGAGCCCCAGTGTGTATATAAGCCCGACTACAGTCACTTCGCGATAGGTGTTCGTCAACATGGAGGAAAGGAACGACTTTGTAAGAAAATTGAAGGATTCTCTCAAGAATCAACCCGGATACCTGAGGGGGACCTCACCGAGGATCAACCGGCCTGGAGAAGAGCAGCGAAGACTGGCACAGCAATCTGCGAAGCCGACCGGATCGCCGCCGTCAAAGTCAAAAGAGAAGCTTGGAAGTCTCAGACGCCTCTGAAGCACAACGTGAACACCCCTACAACATGCTCACTCTGTAAATGAACATTCAGTGCACAGAGCGGTCTCGTCAGATCCAAAGCAACAACAGCCTGACAAGTCAAATTGCTGTCTCCGCAAACGCCCTCGTCGCAACATTACCGTCGCCGCCGCCGCCGCCGCCGCCACCACCAGCAGCACCACCACCACCACCACCACCACCACCACCACCACCACCACCACCACCACCACCACCACCACCACCACCGTCGCCGACGTCGACCACCACCTCTAACATCCCTGTCACAACGCTGCGACAACGTCAGTGACGACTATCACCTATCCCACTTCCATCACCGGTGAGACAACTCCCGACGACGTTTCGGCTGCCACCATTTCGACCACCAACAATGTAGACTTTATTCCAACCTGTCCTCATTGCCCTCGTACCTTCGCACCACTCATCGTCCTGGTCGGCCACTTGCGAATCCATCGCACAGACACTGACGAACTAGTGTTTAGAGCATCAACAAACACCCATTTCATCCGCCTTAACTGTCCGCGTTGCCCACGCATATTCCGTCACCACACTAGCCTACGCGGCTATAAGCGCAGTTATGAAAACCTACGGCAAAGCACGGCGATAAAACCATATCACCGAACCTCCCCTCACTAGCACATACATCACGCACGAACCCGTCCCACATTAGCCCCAACAGGTACGGAATAAGCACCTCTGAAGTAAGTGGATAACGTATTCTTTGGCACCCTCCCCATATGGCCTATATGACACTCTAGTGCATATGAGATTTGAGCATTCCAGCCCTTTGTATGAAGACCTGGGGGTGTTGTGTATATGGTCGCGTAGACTAACTGCCTAGGTCTGTCAACCACGACGCCCAATCTCATTCCACAGTTGTGTTCCGTACCGTAAGACACCCTGTTTACCTTCTCCGTCGCATGTGCTGAGCAGTTCCGCACATCTCGTGACCGACCAATCATGTTAAAAGCAGCTCCACTGTCCAGTATGCACAAGCAGACCAGAGTTGGCGTGACAGAACATCAGGTCCGGGACGACAGGAACGCCCCCTCCCCCCCTCCCCCCCTCATTTGGCAACATCCGCCAACCCGTTATTCATCTGCCGACCAGGCACACGTCCGAACTGCACTCCGCCCTCCTCCCCTCCGCGAGTGTGCGCGTGGAGGCGAGGTGACTGATTGTGAGGGCCACTTAACCACCGAAGGGGGGGGGGAGGACATTTTAGCACGAGCCAACCGCCATCGAGAGCAAGTGTGGACTGCTCACCCCCCCCCCCCCCCGCGATCCTCCCTTCCTCTCGCAAGCATAGCCTCCCGGTAACAGTGTGTACACATGCCCGAATCGGGGACAGCTGTCAGATTTACAAGTATTTTTAGAAAATTAATAGATTCTGGTTGATCCAAATCATCCACAGTTGTGGCTCCTGGAATAGGATGCTGATCAGGGGTGGTATATAAAGGGTGGGTCTATTCTGCCAGCAGGGCAGGCGTCGCCACTCCACGACTGAGCTTCAGATGTCACCGAGGGAAACGATACTGTGGCTCACGAGTAAGGAATTTACGGATGAAAATTATGTGCATCTCTACTTGGTCCTCGTTCCATGTTTTGCCTGGCCCGTTCCCATATAAACGTACGAGAATTTATCAAAAGCAAACTTATGCTCGCCAACCTGCCTTCTGAACTAGCAAATTGTAAACTTTTGAGAGAGCCGTCAACGCGTGCTCCACATGACCTGGTTCCAAATTCGGTAAGATGCGGTTACGTAGACCCACCCCGATGGACACGAAAGTGTTGGGGCTAGGGTTAGGAGTTATGGCTAGAGGTCAGGGTTGGGGTTTAGAGTTATGGGTTAGGACAACTATTTCCCAAGCACTCAAAGTACAATCGCGCATTCCCAGTAGCTTTTCTTTTGCATACAACTACTTGGCCTCGTCGCCTGTGCGTTCTCCGGCCCCACCTGTAAAAACCTCCCATTACGACCGATCCCGTATTACAGGCGGTTGGGTTTTGTCTACTTCAGGTGGGGCTGCATAACCACATCTGACCCCAAACTCAATTTGCACAAGGCACCGCAAGGAGGGAGGAGTTTCATGGGTCATAATAGGCGAAGACCGTAAATTTCACTTTAAGAAGAGGTCGCTGCGGGCTGACTTGCAGTGTCGCCTAGGGCCTACTTGACCTGTTAGCGTGCGACCCAAACCACTAATATTGACGCATCGTGGCAGGTCAAACATGCGTCTGATTGTTTGTGGAAAGCACTAGAATTTGAGCTGTCTTGTCAGCGATCTGTCCTTGACAGCCCGACTGAAGTGGAGATTTGATGCAGTGACTGGCGCAAGGAAAATTCCCCGTCCAACGTACGCCACCCACGCATCCGTAGAGAGAGAGAGAGAGAGAGAGAGAGAGAGAGAGAGAGAGAGAGAGAGAGAGAGAGAGAGAGAGAGAGCAGTATGAAATGACTTACCCAAAGTGTACACTAACTGAACATTTATCAACGTCACACGGACAGTTCATAGTCGTATTTGTTGCTTGCCCTTACCTCATCGTATCTGCAATATGGCCAACAGCATTGCGACGGTGGACCCCTCAAAAAAACTGAGTTTTGCAAAGAAACCCATCTAGTGTGACAAAAACTTGACCCCTTGGGCTGCCAGTCTACTAATGAAGTTATTCACGCCATTGAGTATTTACATGCGGGGGTGTGTGTGTGTGTTTACTCTGGCATTATTTCGGTGGCTTTTATGCAGTGCACACAGCCGGTCAATGCCAAGGCGATGACGTTGATGAGTCAAACGGTATGTGGTCGCTGTGTGCGACTTGGTTGGCCGCCGGGCCTCCATGAGCAGGCTACGGCACGCTGACCACCAACGAACGACGTACACACGCGAAGGCTTGGCCGCAGGCTTGGCGACTGACTGATTAAACGGCCGCCGCCGCCTCCGCTGTCCGACGGGCCTACGGCCTTTAATCCACGCAATTCGGTACAGGTGATTCCACCGCGCCAGATTCATTTCGCGAATGAGCGGGAAGAATGCCATGTGCATAAACCTCCCCCCCAGCGGGCGGCAGTTAGTTAGCTAATGTGATAAGACTGAAATATAGCCACCCCTCCATCCATCCTGCTGAAATCCATGCACGCATGGTTGCTAGTTTCGTTCGTCGGGTTTTGGTCCGGGTTTGGTTACCGAGAGTACGTTCACCGTACTCAGAGGTTCAGCTAAGCTTTTGCTGTCTACGCGGAAAGCGATACTCGTGAAAGCACTCTCACCTTACCTGCTTGCTCGGTGGTAGCGTTCGCTAGAAAGCCGCAGAAAAAAAGGAAGCTTGACGATTTTCTTCCATTGACAGGGGGTGGGGGGGGGGGGGCAAGATTGAATCCTTAAACGACTCAGCGATTGGCTGGAAATGCGCAATTTAGAACTGTGTGCGTTAAAATGTGGGGGTTGTTGATCCTGCTACTGCCACCCTCGCAGTCATCATAAACAGCATCCAACAATGACGTCGGAGTGGCTTTAGGGGTTACATCGTTTGAGAAATATAGTGCACTCTGGCGGCTGATTTCGGCGGTAGTGGAGGTGGTTATACTGCAGTCTAACTATTCATGTTTTTCTAATGAACTCCACAACCTGGAAAAAACGACTGCATGCAAACTTGTGCATCTAAATTGTGTAATCCACAACATATAGTAGCAAAGCCTTTTTTGAGACAGAAACCGTGTAAGAGAAGACTTTTTGTTAGCCTAGGCGTACTTGGATCGCCGGCCTTCATTTTGAAACAATAGACAGGCTAAGAAACAGTCATAACTGTCCCCTATAACAGGGTTGCATTTAGGGAAGGGCTATAACTGCCACTGACCGAAGTTGCTTCCTTGAAATATTTATATTTTTGGTCAGATGTGTTTATTTAGTCCCACCTGAAGTAAACAAATCCCAGACACCTGTAATACGGGACCGGTGGTAATAGGGGGTTCTTACCGGTGGGACCGGGGAACGCGCAGGCGAGGAGGTCAAGTAGTCGCATGCAAAAGAAAAGCTATTGTGAATGCGCGGTTGTACTTTGAGTGATTGAGAAATCGTTGCCCTAATCCCTAACCCTAACCCCTAACACTAGCCCCTGACCCTAACCGCTAACACTCTTGTATCCATCAGGTGTGGCTGCATAATCACATCCTACCCAACTACTTGCTGTGTCCAGTTACCCATCGTTAGCCAAAAAACTGCAAGGGAATGTCGTCGAAGAAATGCCATCTTCCAAGGCGGTCAGAATTTCATGACATGAGATACTGTTGTGAGACAGGAATTATGCCTCGTTTGGGCACGGGCTATGACGGTACTAGGGACGCCGTAGGCGCTTGTAGTCCCATCCCCGCGCAGGGGAACGCCACTCTTCCATTTACGATATCGGTCTTTCACCTTATTGAATTCCCCGTACAATAGGTCTTACTATCTCACACAGGGACGTGGAACACCCAGATCCCTAAGATTTACGGAATGCCACGCAGCCGTCACCTCCCAAGTCTATACAAAAAGTAGTGATCAACAAATAGGTTCATCATCTATGATGAATACTTTTGTTTGCTCACTTGGTAGTAAGTCGTGTCTTCTTTAAATGTTATACTAGAAGCATGAGTGTAATTCGGTTTTAAACAAGTTTCTTATTATGACATTTTTAAGACCGTGAAATACCCATTTATAAAACATCGTATATCTACATTTTTAATGTTGTTTCTTAATTTTAGAATATGGAACAAAACTATTCGAGAATTTCAGTTTTTTAAACCGGAAAATACTCTTCCTTTAAGTTAAACGTTTAAGGGGACAAAATCACACCACCGAATTTCCGCCAACATTTTATGTGATAGCACATGTATGTGTGTTGCACATTTCAAAGCATGCTCTAATTTAGCGCTTCCTGCTATTCCCTTGTAGTATATTTCCACTCACCTTTCTTTTACTTAGTGGCAAACACTAGTTTTACTAACGTCTTTTATTTTTAGAAACCAGCCATGGACAACGGAACTTTTCCAATCGATAATTCGTGACAGGGAACTGTTATGACTGTATATACTTCTTTTAAAGGTTTTATAATGTTTGTGATCAATAAACTACCTCTTCTCATTAATTTGCGTTCATTTTCCGATGTCGTATTACAGTCCGTTATGCGCTGGTGCCATGTTTAATTATGGCTCATTACCGTTTGGTCACCTGAGAGGATGGCGGGTTCCCATGCCCGCATCCAAGGTGATATAATAAGGGCGTCAAAGTCGTTATCGTAAAAGGGGGGGGGGCA